CATCGGCAGTTCAAATCGAGGGCTGGTCACCACGCAGCCAAAGGGGATGAGAATGAGAGGAGAAGAGGGGATGAGAGAGGGGCCAGGCCAGGCGGTGTTCCAAAATTCTGGCCCCGGGAGATCACAGGCAGCCTCTGCCCAAACACAGAGCAACTTGTCCAGACATGGGTAGGGTACCGGGTCTCAGCTCCACCCCTGAAGCTTCGGGAATCAGGGGTGGAAAGAACTGACTTGCCTGGGCTGAGACGCAGCTCTGTCCAGATTTAGCTGCAGGACCTTTGGGACCTTCACAAAGTGCTGACCCTGGAGGGCTTTGTTCATGGGACCACACCCTTCCCTGTGGGTCCAACTCAGGTGCCAGACCACCCCTGACAAGACACAATCCTGAGGGACATGCCCAGCCACCCTGCAAGCAGGAATCTCTGGACCACCTGCAGACTACTGGCTCTCATCTAGAAAGTGGGGCCAAGTGCACAGCACCTGCCACCTGCCCCTGGTGTGGCAGTGACCAGGATACCATGCTTTTGTGCAGGTGTCCATGGTGTGGACAGAAACAGCCTGGGGTGGGGGTTGGGGGGGTGAACCACACTACTCTGCAGTCCCAGCACCACCCCAGGGAGAAGTCCGACTCCACAACCACCCAAAGTGACAGATATGCACTAAGGCCCAGGAGAGGAACTCTGAGCCCTGCCGGGCAAGGCGAACCCAGCTTCAGAGGCCACGGACCTGCCTCGGACCTGGTGCTACCCCTACCGCCACGTGACCGAGGCCAGTGGCTGATCTCTGAGCCTTAGTGTTCCCATGTGTGAAATGGGGACATCCTCTCTCTCACATACACTTGTGAGAATTATACAAACTAGCATATGTGGAATCCCAAGCACAGTGCCTCCACAGAGACCCCAAACTGGAGTCTCCTTCCTTTAGGGCTCAGGTTCTTACAGAGGTCCCTAAAGACTATGCAAGGCATGAGCTTTTCTGGAGCATGCAGCCCAGCTTTCATCAGATCTATGACCCAGGAAAGGTTAAGTGCTGGGCTAGGCAGAGCCACCTCTGAGCTTAGAGAGCAGCAGTGACCCCTGCCCCAGGCCCTGTGGGGACACCACCCAGTGATCAAAGCCCAGCTGGACCCCACAAAGATCTAGAGGACAGCAGGGCCTGGGGCAGGAGTGGGGTCAGGAAACAAGGTCTAGCTACTCACTGCATAAATTTACACGAGGGCCCCTCTGGGCAGAATCCCACGAGGTAATTCACACAGATGACTCTCCGTGTGTGCCGGTGCCTGCACAGGGGACCTGTGGAGCCAAGCATTCGGGTCACTCAGACTCCCCTCTTCGGGGGATAGCCTCGTGCCCCTGTGCCAGTCAGAACCCTGCCCATACCACTACCTGGGGTGCAGAGAGCAAGAGCAGGGCTTTAGATGCTGGCTCTGCCTCCTATCCATTCACAAGGGACAGCAGGCAGGGCATACAACCTCTAACCCGATAGTTTCCTTACCGAAAATATAGGTGAGAGTGCAGTCCACACAGGAGCTTTGGGAGGCTTGGGTGAGCTGAGGGTGTAAAAAAGCCTCACTAGCCCCAGATGCCTAACACCAGGTTTCGCTGGAACAGGTGGGACAGATAGAGGGTCACATGAGGAGAGGAAGCAAGGACCAGCCTCTTGCTGGGACCCAGCCACCCCGACACCTACCATGCTTGCAGAAGCCACGGTCGTACCAAGGGCAGTCCTTGATCTTGGACTCGGGGTCGATGTGCAGGAAGGGGCACTCCTTGTTGCTGCACTCACCTGTGGGGAAAGCCAGACGTGCATCCACCTGGGGCAGGTCTAGGAGAGCTGGACCCAGACCCACCTCATGGCTCTCTCCCTTACCCAAAGGGGCATCCTGGACACTGGGCAGGGGCCCAAATATGTGAAGCCACCAACTGAGAACAGGAAATAACTGGTCCACTCTGATGAGCCCTTCACATCTACTAGCTGGGACAGCGACAGTGAAAGTTCTGAGGATTCCACCTTTCAGAACAAACGCAGGGAAGATTTGGGAACTCAAGGCTCAAGTCCTGTGGCAGAATGTGATAAAGCCTTCATGATGACAGCTCCTCTCAGGAACAAATGGCCCAGCTGGCCAGCAGTGTCATTCACCTAACTACAAGATCCACCCCCTCCGCGCTTGCCCTCCCCAATCCAACCACACGGAAGGACAATCTGATCCCTGTTGGCCAGAGAACACGCAAACCCCTTTCTAGATCTGCAAGCCCCTCTGTGGTCTAGACCACCCCTCCCCAGGCTCCTCGGCCCTCAGCCACACTGCCCCCTCACTCCATATGACCAGCCCCTTCTTAGCCTTCAGATCCCTTCCCTGACCATTTAGCCTAAAGGAAAATATGGTCTTCATGTGGTCTTATCACTATTTATTTTCTTTAGAGCGCTTACTGCATATCATTTTTTTTTAAACATGTATTCATTTTCAGAGAGAAAGACAAAACGCTAGTGGGGGAGGGGCATATCATTTTCCATTTTGTCTCACTGCTGTCAGCTGCCTCTTTCCCTGGGCCACTAGAATAAAAGCACCACGGGACAAGGACTGGGTTTCTCCTGTTTACTACCGGCCCTCTAATGCTCAAAGAGGACCCTCACTTGTGTCACAGGTGACAGGAGCTGCAGACAGTACATGTGCACCAGGGCAAGCTCTGTGGGGAGGCAGAGGAGCGTCAGAGGCATCAGGGAGGCTGCCAGGCCCGGCAGGAATGAAGGAACCCAGGCCAGCCTTCAAGGGTGCCCTTAAGAGTCTGCCCAGCGCCTGGGTGGCTCAGTCGGTTAAGCATCCGACTATGGCTCAGGTCATGATCTCACAGTTCGTGGGTTCGAGCCCCGCGTCGGGCTCTGTGCTGACAGCTCAGAGCCTGGAGTCTGCTTCAGATTCTGTGTCTCCCTCTCTCTGTCCCTCCCCTGCTCACGCTCTCTCTAAAAAGTAAATAAAAACATTAAAAAAAAAAAGAAAAAAGTCTGCCTGGGAGGGCTGTCTCCCGCCTTTGGGTCCAGATGGGAGATGGCACGCATGAAAAGGGGATGCCCTCTTCCAGTACTCGTTCCAGTGCTGTTTCCATTGCTGGCTTGGTGGAGGTGTGGGGGTTGGGGGGCTGGGAAGCCTGGGTCCTATTTCTCACTATCTGTGCTTTGACTTCACAGCTTATGCTACCTCTACAAAAAAAACACAACTGTCATTACTAAACCAGCAGAGCATGCCTGTCAGGCTGCTGGAATAATTAATGTCTCTTGATGACAGTGCATTGAAAGTGCACTGCCATCCAGTGCTCCCTAGCACCCCCAGCCCGTCACATGTACAGCAGGCTTCCAGCCCCACCGCCGAGTCCCTGCACAGGGCCGGCAGAGCCCATCCTCATCCTGACCAGCAGGGCTCCTTCCTGGGCAACCTTGTCCACGGCAGAGAGTGGTAGATTCTAGTTCCATCAGGGAGCACAAGAGCTCTGTTGAGCAGCGGCCCCTCTGCTCCCACTTCTCCATGGAGTCCACTCAGGACAGCCAGGGGCACGTGTTCTCCACACAGGGAGCAAGGCAATCTCAAGGTGAGGAGTGGAGCTCTTGGCCACCACAAGATAGTCTATTTAGGACAAACTAATAACTGGAATCACACTCCCAGAGAGAAGGAAACAACTCAGACATGGGGGGCAAGAGACACCAGGCTGGAAGCAGCAGCCAATATGAGGGAAAAGGTCAACGTGAGTGGAAACAAGGCCTCCCGCCAGCTGCACTGCTCACTCAACCACCATGGGACCCTCAGTTGTCTCAACTTCCCAAAGAACTTGAAACTAGAGGGTCAGCTAAGGTTGGCGGGCACAGCGTGAGGTTCCCATCTAGAGCTGTAAAGATGGGAGGTGGCAGACACTGTGGGCACCTGAGCAGCTCTTTATCCTCTCGGGGTCTCAGTTCTGGGTGTCACCTCCCCAGGGCTCCTGAGGCTGGACGTCCAAGTACAGAGAGGGGCCTGGCCATCTGCTTACCGAACTTGGAGTAGAAGTAGCACTCGGGCATCTTGGTCATGTCGTACTCATGCAGGAACTCGCACTGGTCCCCCTTCTTGCACAGCCCCCGCAGCCAGTGTTTGCACACAACGGTCTTCTCACCACTGATATGGCGGAATGGGCACATGCCCCCTGCCAAGAAAGACAGCACGCTGTGATGACGGCAGCACCTTCACCCCACACTTCCTTGCAATATCTGGGAGCAACACGTCTTGGGAGGCCATGGTTGCACCTGGCAGAAGGCAGTACATGGGCACATGTCTTAAGTTTTAGTACTTCTGTGTTTTCTTTCTTTGGAAAGAAAACCTAACTAAAATATCAAACCATGCTTTCACAGATATTACTGTAATACAGAAACTTTTTTAAGACAAGAAGCAGGACTTATTAGTGGGCATGAGTAGGGAGGGGCAGTGCTAAGGTTCTCGTGAGTGCAGAACCACGATTTGTCCAACGGGCCACGATTAAGGATGTCTTTAACCCCATAGCCATCTGGGATGGGCCACCATGTCTCATCTGTGTCTCCCTCTCTCTGCTCCCCTGACCCCTCGCTCTCTCTCAAAAATAAACTCTTAAAAAAAAAAAAAAAAAGAATTACAGAGCAAAGACATGGGAAGAAGACCAGGAGCCCAGTGAGAGATATAGTACAACCAGACAGCCTGAGGTCAACCTGGTAAGACATGGCGGGTTAGTGGCTTGGCAACCTTGTCTTCAAATTTGTCTGCATTAAACTTAGTAAAGCCCACTTCTTGGAAATGTGGATCTTCTGGCGGCCAGGGAACTTGAACTTGGCCCTGCTAGGGCCTCATGCTCCTTGTTCTGCAACTTGGTACGGATGGACATGATGACTTGGCCAATGTGGACCCTGGCCACTGTGCCAGGGTTTCCAAAGGCACCCGGCAGACCTGTCTGGAGCCTAGACTGGAGATAGCATGAGGCCAAACCTTAATGTCCACCAGAAAGGGCTGCCTCCAAGGTCCCTTAGGGCAACCTGTACAGTCGACAGGCTGCATACACTACCAAGGAGGCTGCTGTTCACAACCATTGCACACTGGGCCGCGTGGGGAAAGGGCACAGTCGGCTTAATTGGCTGCAGTAAGATGGGAACTTAATAAGCCTTAGGGTAGTGGTGGAATAAGCTTATTTGTTAATTAAAGAACAGGTTTAGTGATACACAGACATGGCAAAAATTGTAGAGGTAGTGAAAAAACCAAAAAACAAAAAAACTGGGCTTTGGAAAACACTGCTCTTAAAAACAGAAGGTAAAGGAAAACACCAGCAGAATCCTGGACCCCAAGTGGGCTCCACCTCTAGTTTTAAGTGCCACTTAGTCTCTAAGAATTAAGAAAGAATATCAACTTCAGAACTGAAGAAATGCACTGTACACAAAGTGGCCTTCTGTGGCAGGACCCGAGCGATAAGCCACTCAGATGGGACAGAGCAGCACCCTTGGAAACTTATTTTTCTAACTCGTGGCCAGGCGAGACCACTGGGAAGGCCCAACCAGAATGAGATTGTGACTGGGAAAGACCTAGACCAGACCCTCCTAACAGAACTTTTTGCAATGATGTTCTATATCTATGCCGTCCAACATGGCAGCCACTGGCCACATGTGGCTATTAAGCACTTTAAATATAATGCATTTAAATATAATGCTGGATGGCTCAGTCGGTTAAGTGTCCGACTTCGACTCAGGTCATGATCCCACAGTTCGTGGGTTCAAGCCCCGCACAGGGCTCTGTGCTGATAGCTGTGAGCCTGGAACATACTTTGGATTCTGTGTCTCCCTCTTTTTCTGCTCCCCCCATCCCCACACTCTGTCTCTGTCTCTCTCTCGCTCTCAAAAATAAACACTTAAAAAAAAAAAAAAAAAGAATTACCAAGCAGAGACATGGGAGGAAGAGCAGGAGCTCAGTGGGAGACATAGTCCAACCAGACAGCCTGAGGTCAACCTGGCAGGGCTATTGTTTCAGTGATAAATGACTGAGTTATAGAACCAAACTTGCCAAAATCATCCATTAAAAACATGCCCTTGCTCTAATTCTGTGCTCTTTACTCAAGCTTCTGGTTAAAATTTAGTTTCCAAATAAATTTGCCTACAGGAAGAAAAATTCCCAGACCTATATGTGGCATGTAAGGTCCCACCCAGCAATCTGTCTCCTTATGAATCAATGGATGGTCTGGTTCCAGCAGCCTCTGTTGGAGCCTGGTTAGTATGAACAAAGCTCCACAGGACACACTACTGTAGGGGTTTTTCATGAGAGGATACAGAGGACAGTGAGTTTATACAGACTATAGGATCAGAAAGGCTTAGGTTCAGACACTGGCTCAGCCACTCACTAACTCTGTAATCTTGAAAAATGCTCACGCCTTCTGCCCATGTCACAGGTCAGCTCAGGGCCACAGGGCAAGTGAGGTTAGAAGGCAGACTTAGAGTGAGGGCCCATCCTGTCTTCTAAACTTCGGGCAGAATACCCCATCATGTTCCTAGCCTATCCAAAGCACAGTGATTTCATCTAGGGACACTGTTAGTCTGCAGCAAACCAGACCTGATGGCCTACAAATCTGCTCAGAGGCTGGGTGGTGGAAAGCACCTCAGGAGGAATGTAGGGGAGCTGACGGTTTCTTACCTTTGCCACAGGCAGCTTTCAAAAAGAATTCGCAGACAGCAGCCCCCGACTCTGCAGGAAGGAAAGCAGAGACATCAAACAAAGTGAGGTATGACTAGGGACAGCTGAAGACACAGGGAGGGGACCCTTCTTGCCTTTAACCAAGAAGGGTTCAGGGTACAGGAAACGGTCTGGCAAAAAAATGCAAAGCCTGACAGAGCCAGAAAAAAGCTGCCCATTTCAGCCATTCCCTGCGAACATGAGATACATATGCTGAGACCAGTTATTCTTAGAACCTCCTATACCCAAGATGCTTTCAAGTGGGTATGGGAAAGATGGGGCACAATATCACAGAATTACCCCCAGTTTGGACATGGGATGGTCCAGAGGGCTAAGACTGTGAAAGCACAGTCTTCTGCTTCTACAGAGGTAACCGGTTCAGGTAAAGCGAGCAAGAGAATCAAGGCTGCGTGTGGGGTCAGTCAGTGACTCCAGGGGCAAGCTGGCGCAATGAGCCCAGGAATTCATTGGCCGTGGATCCCAAAATAAACTGTCCATACACAGTTTTCATAAAGTTTTCTCTATCAGCAGGCATTTTACAGTTGCTGAATACCCACCAACAGCATCTTAGAAGGCCATGTTCATACCTCTCTCTGCTAACTTGCGACAGATTCCTTGGATTCTCAGAAGCAGACAGATTTTGCTAAGACAGATTTAAGGCTGTCGAGGGGGTGTCACTTGTTTGTATTTCGAAAAGTTTAAAGTATTACACTAAGAAAAGTATCATATAAGAGGGTTTCTGGGCCGACATTCTTCTGAGGTTAGGGATGCTTCATTCCTTGAAGCCAGAAGTTCACAGTCCTGGGACCCGGGTCTCAGGCGGACAGGTTAAGAGTATGCCTTCAGTGTAAGAACTGACGATTCTTCCCAAACCTAAGAGGAGAATGACGTGCCAGGACAAAGGAGGAAGAGTTGTGGCCTCCCAGGGTTTTAACACACATGCTAGATCATGGGTGAGCAGAGTGCTGAGGATGCCTACCAAGTGTGAGGCCCAAGCCAGGGCAGCACCCAAGGCTAGGCATGTCTGTGACCCTCCTTAGAACAGGTATGTGGGCTCCCTGCTATTTCATATGTCCTCACAGACTCAAAGCTGTGCAGGAGCTGCCCTGCATGGATGGTTCCATGCAACACAGGGAAAGGCCATGTGTGCAAAGGTAGGTGTGCATGCACAAACAGGAAGTGAACATGTGTGTCAAGGGGTAGGGAATAGGTGTATAGTATATATCTGAACTTCAGCAGCTGCTTGTAAGGTGTGTATAGTAGAGATGGAGCCTGTGCGTGTATAGGATTAGGTTGTTTGAGATGTATCTCATGGGCATAGCATTATCTCACAGAGAAGCGTCAGCACGAGTGAGACAACTTGGGTCATGTGTGCGTGAGAAGTGTGGCCATTTGAGGGGAATGAGGCTGCAGGGAGGCCTTCCAGGCCACGGACCAGTGGGAGAACATGGGTCTCTGGCAGTCATAAATCACAACACGGGGAACTGCAGACCGAACCAGTCAGTAACACTGGAGAGCTCACCTGGTTCCACCAGGTACCGAATGGCTGTGGACCAAGTGGTCTTCCACAAGTCCCTGTCCCCAACCCAGGCCTCAGTTGCCCTGTCTGTGGACTGAATGCAATGACCTCTAAGCTTTAATGTTACAACATTAGATTCCAAGTGTTTCCAGAAAGGAGAGAAGAAAACTGCTGGTTTTTGTTTTTTTAAAGTGCTAAACATTGGGGCAGCACCTGGGTGGCCTGGTCAATTTAAGTGTCAGACTCCTGATCTCAGCTCAGGTCTTGGTCTCAGGATCGTGAGTTCAAGCCTGGCATTGGGTTCGGTGCTGGGCGTGGAGCCTACTTTAAAATATAGATAAATAAATAATAAAAATAAAAAAAGTATGAGACATCCACCTAAGTTGGGGCGTGGGGAGCCAGGAGCTATCGTCTGAAGGTAGAGAAGGGAGCTCAGGCAGCTGCCGGGCTGTGATTAATTGGGGTCCAGAGAAAAAGTGCGGGATAGGCTCCCTGGGTGCAAGTCCTAGAAAAATGAAGTTTGAGTGTCTAATTGGGAATCTCCTACAAAGAGGAACAGGTGGTCCTTCCTCCAGCAAGACTCCTCCAACCGCCTAGTACTGGTAAAAACAAGAAGAGGGTGCTCAAAATGGGGAGCTGGAAGTGGAAGATCTTAATTTCCTTTAGTTGGGGAAGGTAAGCAATTTCCAATCCAGGACACTCGCTTTCATTCAAGAATTATTGGAACAGCCAGACACGGTCCTGCCCTCCTGAAGGGTGTATTTGAACAGCCCCAGGGGATCAAAGGGGATCCGAGAAAGGGAGGCTCCCGAGTCTGAATGGGGGGAAAGGGTCTCAGGATGGAGGGTGGGGGAAGGCGTCCCAGGACCGATGGGGAGCAGGTCCCGGGATAGTCGGTCGCGCCCCTCGCCCGCGGCCCCGCGCTCACTGTCCATGCCGGGGAAGGGCAGCGGCTGTGCCCCGAGCTGCTGCTCCACTGCGATCTCCAAGTCGAACTTGATGTGGTCCACGCTGGCGATGATTTCCTGCATGGCGGCGGCGGCGGCCACACCGGCCCGACTACCCCTCAGGTACCTCGCCGCCCTCACACTTCTACCCGCCACCGGACCCTCTGCTCACAGTCCTCCGCCTTGTCTTGCCTCGCCGCCGCCGCCGCCGCCGCCGCCGCCGCCGCCGCCGCCCGAGGGATGCCGGGAGCTCCCGGAGCCCGCGCCGGCCTTTGGCCTGTCCAGACCCGGCCAATAGAGCGCGGAGCACGGGCCGCTCCCCCAGGCCAGGCTAGCCGCCCGCCGAACTCCCGCCTCTCCTCACGGCCGCGGGTAACTTGCCTCCACTCACAGGGCGGGGAGTTTGCTTGGCGAACTGCGCCTGCGCGAAGTCGGCAGAGACACGTGCCTACCGGAAGGTGGCAGGGAAGGAGAACCTGGTGCGCGGCGCTGTGAGGTGGGCACGGGAGTGGGGGCGACGCGGGGACGGGGGGGGGTGACGTGGGGCCGGACTGGGGGTGACGCGGGGCTGGAAGTCTGGGATGAGTTCACTGGGCCGGACCTTAAGAGTGAGAGCCCATTTGACCTTGCCTGGAGCCCGGTATCTGGGCCGGGACAGGACTGAGAGGCACCGAGTGTCACCCGAGCCGGGGACCTCTAGGGAGGCGACCGAGGCTCTAAAGGCCTGTGTGGAGGGGTCGGGGTGGCCAGAGGGCCCCTGGGAGCGTCTGCCGAGGGGCAGGTCCCCCAGAGACGACGGCCAGCGGCAGCGCGTCTCTGAATCAGGGGTTATTAGCTGGGGCAGGTTAATGAACTTGGGTCGGAAGAAAGTGACACCTCTAATTTTCTCTGTGTGAAATGAGCATTTCATGACGGACGGAGTAGGGTTGGCAGTGCCCTAAACTGATTTAGTGTTCCTAAA